GATGGAGAGACAGACAGAAGGGGAAACTGAAAATATTGTGAACAACTTAATGAGGTTAGTTAACAAGAAATGAGAATAAGAATGAGGGAGCAATAAACTTGAACTTGAATATATGAATAGAGATCTGAGCCCCATTTCACAAACTTGTCATCAGTGAACAAATGACAGTTTTTGTTATAAGCTAGTGACATACTTGCTTCTGTTTGGTTATCATCAGATTTTTCACTGATTTTTGTCATTCGTCAGTGAAAAAGGCTTTGTGAAACGCCCCCCCCCCCAAGAAGAGACACTGGAACAAATTAAGATGCAGAGAGAGGTCAAGAGAGAAAGACAGGATAAGAGATAGGGAGAGAGAGAGAGAGAGAGAGAGAGATGGGAAGTGAGATACAAGGGAGAGGAGTGTATTAGAGCGAAATCGAAAACAGCAGGCCAAATGTTCCTTTTAAATGGGGGTTAATTATAGCACATGCAAGTCAGCTTTACCGCGCGCTATTTCTAATGTCCACTTTGGCAGTTCAGCCGAAGGTAATCTCGGGGGAAATACTGGAGCAAGACATATACAGCGATACAGATTAGATATTAAACTGCGGATGATTCCCTGATTAACTTGACTGCATTGAGAGTTAATTCAACAAGAGATAAAGGTGATTTGATCACCGAGCGATACAATACTTTGGCATTGGCATTGGCATCATATCAAGATATCCAATGTCGTTATTACATTACAACGCGGTACAGGCAGTTCATTCTTCATAAAGTAAAAGATGCGATCCGCTGGAGGCAACCACCTCATGATCGCAATTTCGCGTCAAATAATCTGCTTCCCAAATACGATAATCATGTTAACCTGAACATCCCCTCGCTATTTGTGACGTGCGCCTTTTCATCACAATCAACATGGAAAGGTGGGCAATTCCACGGTAACGGAAGGACACTCAGACAAGATTTTTGAACTTCAGGTTCATACTAAAAGAACTGTTTTATTAGTATAAGATGTGAAACAGTACAGATATAATACCTATATAAGTGCCTTTAATTCTCCCCCAAAAAATTGTCATTATAGTTAAGTAGTTTAAGAATGTGCATATTAATTATCTCGGTAACGGAAGGACATAAAAATGGACATGGTTTTTCCAGTTAATTAGTGTTTATCCAAACTTTGTGAAGCTGATGAAGCTTTCCACTTGACTGAAACACATTTTGTTCCCCATAGTTTAATACATACTAATAAAACATTTCTTTTAGTATGAACCTGAAGTTCAAAAATCTTGTCTGAGTGTCCTTCCGTTACCGTGGAATTGCCCAGGTGTCTTTTTGAGCAAATGTAGTAACGAAATCTCACGGGAGATTTTGCCGTCGTCGTTGCGCCGCGTCTATTCCGCAGCCGTACCTTTTTTGTTCTCTATCTCTCTCTCGTCCCCATTTTAGATGGATCTATTGACAAAGCATCGACGTTAAAAAGTGCTTTGAACGTCGACACATGGTTGATGCCTGACTTCAGGAGAGACAGTACATGATCGGCCTCAAGGGGCTAACTTTCCGCAACATCAGTGGATGCAGCGGATCAAATTATCTTCTCGTCGCATTTACCTCACGCGATATTTCAGAGGACTGGAATATTGTTGTAAAGCGTACAGTGGACGTTTGGTGTAATTAGAGTATCCTGGGGAAACAAAAACAGGGGATGAGGTTGTTTTCGTTTGTAATATCTGACTCAATTTTAAACATGTTTTTTTCCGCTGGCACAACGAGAAATAAATGATTTGTTAGTAGAGCATAGTTAGTGTGTAAATGCTAGAGGAAAGGACTCAGCTCCAGTTATCGTTTAATTTCATTTTCAGGATGAAAGGCACTGTGCATCAAATAATTTGCCGATTTTTAATTATTCAGACATGAGATTAGTATTATGACCAGGAAGGACTACGGAGAACATTGGATTGTTGTACTGCGTTGCACACGAGGCGTCATTTCGATTGCGTCATTACCTGCGTCAATCGAGCCTTTTGAGGCAATTGATGCATGCGGCAGTAACTGAACCAAATCTATGCGTCATTCATTTTGCATTCCTCTTTTGTAAAATGCCGCTCTCACGTAAAGCGTCAAAGACTGCGCCACAAGTCTCTGTCGCAGCAAATGACGCTTCATCTGCAACAGGCATTATATCATTTAAGAATGGCTGAATATATATATACGATTCCATGCCATGCAAGCAGGGATGTGTTTATGACAAGTCTTTGGGGACGTTCAATTGCGTCACAATGCTCTTGATAAACTTAATTAATCAACCTGAGAAATAGCAGCGAATCTGGGGCAGAATCAATTATTGAAAGGATGATTCTCATTCCCAGCACTCCTGAATGTTCTATTATCTTGCTCTACTGCTATATCCCTTTACACTTTATCGGAAAACTCTCGCAATCACACCGATGAGACTGACAATACACCAATAACAGACCGAACAAATAATTACTACCCTGATTCTCTCTTTTTTTTTTAAACCAGTCAATTTCGACTCGGTTAGAAATTGGTTTGATACTGCTTGACCGACTCCACATGGACCGACAACTGATTCCTATCTGACCGATTCTTGTAAGTCATGTAAATTTGGTTGAGTTCTTTTCTTCTTCTGGTTTCTGGTATTGGTTTTATCGGTGCTACAGGGGCATTATGCACAAACCGACCAATGACTTGGTCACTCGGTCTGGTGTCGGTCTGTCGGTGTAACCGGGGTACGAGGTAAAGCGCATTCGCTTTGATTCATCTTGGCTTGACCCCCTTTCTCGGCTTTTGTTTTGACGAAATACGACTCATCATTTCTCTCCTCTACCCATGTCTCATCGTACCGCTGTTTGACTTTCGGCAACTAATCCACCTAATTTGCTCTAAGCTATGCCGATCATCCCCCAAGCATGGGGAAGATGGAGAGGGGAATTCTGTTTGTCTTTCAGAATCGTGGGCATCATAGGAACGGCATCTTCCACTTATATCAATTGGAAAATTAGATTGCCTATCTTTCCGTAGCCGGTAATAATTCTAGCATAAGAACAACGAGGTCATGTGTATTGAACTTTAGTGTCTGGTACTTATTTCCTTAAAACATAAATGGAAAATTCATCTGCCTGTTACCTATGAAAGAATCAATGTGTATCACATTTATGACAACATTACAATGCAACGTGACATTGTTACATTGGTGAAAACGTTGTCGATTTGTGTCGACGCACTGTGCGTAACAAAACCAAACGTAGAGAATTTAAAACAAGGGTGGAGAGAGACAGTTATGGCAGAATACCTTGCTTAGGGACATTTTTAAACACTGGTTATTATGATTCGAACCCCAAACCTCTCAATCGAGAAACAATGAATACACGTCTATTCAATGTCGATCTAATAATTGTCAGTACAACAATAAACAGTTTCCCCCTAAATATAAGCATAGTTTCCCTCTGAATAGTTGTTTGTGGCGGGAATCGATCAGGAAAAGTACATTAAATTGATTTGACAAGGGTAAATTTTCCGTACAAACAGTCAATTTTCTACGAAAACGTTGGTTAGTGAATTCGCTCGAATTCTATTCTTTGAGATATTGTTTGTGCACATATCCGATAATATCCGCCTATTGTTTGTAAGGTTAACTGCTAGTGACCTGCTCTATAGGTGCAACATGTGCACATGGGACAGGCCGAGAAAGATGCGAGTAATTTTAAAAGATGGGGTGAGTAAACTTTTAGAACTGACGGCAAATTTTGGTAGAAGAATGACTGGTAATGCATCAACGATTGTCTCTGCAGTAAAAAAGATTTATGAAAACAATTACCCACTTAACGATTTCCTCCCACAAACGAAATAACACAGATCTTTAATTTCAGAAGATGATTATCAGGAGATTCTTACTTCAGTATATACAAACTTATTTAAGAAATGGAATTCTTTGCTTCTACGCAATTTGCATATCAATTATTTTGGCAAGTTTTGACAACTGTTATACGTCATAAATGATAGTTAAAAATGATTTAGAGGCGACAATAATAAGAATAGCAAATGCATTTTAATACATTAAAAAAGTTTTAATTGCAGGTATAAATATGCGCGATGAAAGTCGTCGATACAATTTCGGTCTTCGAATCAACAGATAAATACGGTCGGGTAGGGAAAAGTTGTCTGCTCAAGTGACTTTACACAACAATGGTGTAATAAGTAAATTTCATAAGAAAGTAAACATAGAAATACATCATAAGACCAGGCCTGCATAAGACGCTTGTAAATATGCTGTTTGCAATGTAAATTGAAAATGGTGTGATCTTGCACTCTCGGACAAGTAATCTCATGAACTTCCATATCCAGTTAACTATCCCCAATATTTACCAGGTGGTAAGTTGTCAAAACGGCAGTCGTACATCCTAAGTTGGTAGTTGTCTGGGTAGTCGTAGCGCGGGATGAGTGAATTGTCTTGGAGAATGCTTGATCAGGGTAGTTACCAGGTAAGTGGGTACATTGTCCTAGACAGTATTTTTCTACGGGAGAAGTTGTCCTAGGCTAGGGGTCGAATGTCAGACGTGTAGTAGTCCAGGGAGGGAATGGCAGTCCGGTTGACCCTACGTATTGTTTTACTTTTGGTATACAACCTTTTAGAGCCAAAGACAATTGAATTAATAAAATAAAAGTGTGTGAATTTTTAAGGTTAGGGGGTATATTTTGGCTTCTATAATCAATAGAGCATTTGAACATTTCAATAAAACTGATTTGGACTTTCATTGACTTCGCCTAGCATTATACATGTTTAAGTCCACTCGATCACAAATCTTCATTTTCTTATGGCCATTTTTCCGATGTTGCAAAGAATTGATAGATAGAGTAGTGACTGACAATAGAAACGGAAATTGAAATCTGTAATACTGTAATACTTTTTTACCTCGCACATAGAAGGTAAGAGGCGTCTTATATGGGTAGTAATTCCTATTGACCCTTCTAAGAACTCAAAATGAGAAAAAGAAACACAATCTTTCTCTTATGAACATTTATTTTTAATTGTTTGCGACCTTTTTGTTTTTTTTCACATCCTAGTATCATATGAACTTTATCTATTAAACTTTATAATATATTATGTAACCGATATAGTTGAGCTTGGACGCCCACCGCTTTTTTATCGTTCTGATAGTTTTTATATTGCATACAAGATTTCATCACCATAACGATTTTATATCGCAGGGTACCGTCAATAATATCTGAAATAAATGGAGAGTAGGTTCGATATTTTTCGACCTTCCCCCGAGAAAACATTGCCTTTGTATTCTTTAATTTTGTTACGGATCAATAGTTGGACTGACAGACAGGGATAGGGGATGTATATCTTCCATATGCTTCATGCAGTTTTTTCGTCACGGGAGACTAGATTAATTAACATCGAATTCAGTCATCACCAAACCTGCGGTGAAGTACAAAAAATGTAAACATATATTATAACAACCTGTCATTAGATAGCCTATTCTTATTCAATATTTACAGTTAAGAACCTATATACATAATACAAAGGTAGACTCTTTAGAATGATAGTTACAAACTCTGACGATAGTAATGAAGAGAAGAAATATGATTATTTTGGCCTAACAACGTGAAGCCTTTGCGATGACATTATTTTCACTTATTTTCATTCATCATTCTCACGTCGGGGAGATTTTCTCGCGTATTGTCTCAAGAGAGGTATCACTGATGTTCGTCTTTCTGTGAGCTCTTAACCCGTAAGCTGGGGCGTCAAACCTGACGCGACCGTTAATGTCGTTAGGTCTGGTCCTTTTGGTGATACTCGAATGGTGACCGCGATGGCGCTTTCTGGGTCGTTTGTCCCAGCACCGACAGAGGACTCCGGCGATGCGGTAAAAGAGGATGTTCTTGAACGCGTTGCGGAAATCTTGATTGAAAATACTGTAGATAACCGGGTTGAGGCAGGAATTAAAATAGCCTAACCAGGTTAATATCTTAAAAGCTAGTTCGCTAAACAAACAGGAGGCGCATAATGGAAGTACGATGTTGTAGATGAAGAAAGGTAGCCAGCACATGAGGAACACACCCATGATGATACCTAACGTGATGGCTGCTTTGTGGTCCGAGGCAGCTTGACTGTTACAGTGGTACTGCGTGTCGGGATGATGGTTTTTACTGCTGCCGAGGCGGCCGAGGCGAGCGTTCCTCATTCGCTCTCTCACCGCTTTGAAAATACACGCGTAGATACTGATCATAATCAAACAGGGAATGATGAAGCTTATTAAAGAGGAGAAGACAGCGTAGGTAGCGTTCAGACTCAGCGCACACTCGAAGTAATCATCCCCCGGATCCGTGTCAGGGGGGTGAAGATGAGAGACGGTGATTGAATTAGGGCTCAATGTCTGCATGTCAGGATGGGTGAAGTTTGAGAGGTTGGCGGAGAGAGGGAACAGGTGCGCTGAGGGGTGGAGTGATGCACTGGTATCCGAGGCATCCTTATGCCAACCGAGATGAATTGGAATGAATGAAATGAGTGCAGACATGCCCCATACACACAAGATCATTGCTATGACCATCCTTTTTGTCATCCAGTGGTAGTATTTAAAGGGTCTTTTGATATGTATGTAGCGATCCACGCTGATGGCACACAGATTCAAAATGGATGCCGTACTGAACATGATGTCAAATGACACCCAAACGTTACAGAAGCGATGACTGAACACCCAGTAACCTAAGAGATCATTGAACATCGCGAACGGCATGACGAGGAATGATACGAGAAGGTCCGCCATGGCGAGCGACACTATAAAAAGGTTCCCCGTCCGCCGGAGTTTATCTTCCGTTGCCACGGCAGCGCACACCAGGATGTTGCCGAAAATAGAGGTAACGATGATGAGCGCGAGCACGAGTCCAATCAGGACCATCTGCACAATGGGCATTCCCCCGTCCGGGTCGGCGGGTGGCTCCTCCGTAGAGTAGTCGTACTCCGACATGGAGAGTTCATCAGCTGCTGCGTCGACACTCAGCGTCGATATCAGAGCGGAGGTCGTCCTTTGATCCTCCATCGTAGGCGATACACTTCACCGGAAATGATGTCCATGCACCAATTGCCAATACGACTCAACCATATCGCGTAACAAACTCCCCAAGAGCTACTCAGAGATGTGTATAAATCCGTACAATCCGACTGTTCCGTCTACTCGGCGTCTGTAATCATGTAGAACAAGTGGTGCTCTCGTCTGGACCTGTAAGGGAATGAGGCCAAAGAAGATTAAATGATAAGGTAGAACTTTGAGAGCAATATCAGATACATGTAGATGTATTATCTTTCAAAATTTAATGTTAGAATGATCCTAATGTCATTCCCAGATGTAGAGCGGGGGGGGGGGGGGGTGAATAGGGAAAAATAGATTACAATTGCTATGAATGAACAAACCTTTATCACTCTGCAGCCAAGTGCTCTTCATACGATCTAAAATGGCTTTTCCTCAGCAAGAGAATCGCCAATTATTGAAAATTAAAAACCATTATAGCAATGAAATATATTCAGACAAGCGATTTGTTCAAAAGGCTAGTAATAAAGCAGAAATTGAGCTTTCCTATTTGCACTGATGTCTCATAAATGTGTACTCAAGAGAATGATTTTGCATGGATGGCATTATATTTGATAAACCTCCGTCACACCGCTTAACCGACCATACACCGCATCCAACCAATTCTTGGCCAATCGAGATGATGTCATTTAATATTCTCAACCCTCATTCACTATCATTTTTCCTCTTCTATACTCGTAAAATCCTGTTCCAAATTTCATCCGCTAATATTGATAAGCAATTATTGATAGCAACATTCTGGGAATAGCCTACCAGACATACCTAGCAAATCAAATCTCTTCGGCCTGGTGTCGGGACACCTCGGTGTGACGGGGGTTTGGTAACGTTGACATGAACAATATTGGTACATGTTTTTATTGTCACGTGTGACTGGATTTTCATTAAGACACTCCTACGCTGTCTCCGAAATGACATCAGATCTACCATTAACGGGTCGTTTCACGTCAATCAGTTGGATCATCAATGATACATATCTTTCTTTTTCGACGTAATTAGATGTTCGCCGCCACCGTGCTTAATGAACCATACACTGGTTATCTGTAACGAATCAATTTTCGTATATAGATACATACATGACCTATATACATCCATTTATATTATATACATCCATGTATAGTTATATTTGTATTATGTATGTCTGTGTGTGTGTGTGTGCGTGGGTGTGTTTGTGTTTATATTTATGTATATTTCACGACTTTTTGAAGGACGGAAAACATGATTTGATCTTTGCAGAATGAAAATGATGAGAATATAGGTGTGTCGGATACATGATTGAATAATAGATTGATCGTTCAGGAAAAATGTAAGCTTAGGATAAGGAACCTCTTTTATTTATTTTACCTAAATTATATTGATATCATGCACAGACACAATTTGAACATTCATCTATGTCAATTATTTGTTTGTTGGTATGTTTGTTTCTTTGTGTATTTCTTTAAATGTATGAAATGTTCATTATTTTTAAGCTTTGCATGTAATTTTCTTATTCTTTTTAAAGGAATGTGGAAAATGAATAATTGAAATTCTTTATCATTAAACAGAGCGACCAACTCTAATCCCCAAAATAGAAAAGAAAAGGGGAATGAAACTAATCATTCAGTCAGCTCAAAGAAAATATAAATGCCAAGGGCACAGTGAGATTTCATCATTCTCTCATTATTTTGGCTCGGGCTTAAACGTACTTTGTATACATGGCATATTAAGAATCGGGAAGCAGCCATAAAGTAAATAAACCAGGCTGCTAAAAACACACTTATCAGCAAAGAGGATGGGATTGAAATGAGTAAGTAAATTCGTTTCTGGATCAAACATATTATTCACAAGAATCCTCTCGAATTGCATGACTAGCTTGTGTCTCTCATTAAAGATCGAAAATCAATAAAATGCATTTGCTGTGAAAGAATTAAAAAACAAACATTGAAGTTTAAAATAGAATAGTTGCTATAGAATACAAAGAATATTCCAGTTGTAAACGAACTTCTTTCAGTATATTTGTCTTGTCAAATTAGGCCACGTACAATTAGGAGTGATCGATTCATAGAAGAAATTAAAAGAACACTTTTTCATAGTTCCTGATGAAATTCATACTTTTGTTTTCAGAAAAAAGGGTCATGTATTATAAGGAGTGAATGATTCATAGACGAAATTAAAAGAACATTTCATCATAATTCCTAATGAAATTCATACTAATGTTTTCAGAAAAAAGGTCATGTATAATCTAACGCGATTATTTTGTAGTACAAAATGTGGATATCAGTTACTTTCTATCTATACTGGTATCTTCTCCCAGCTCAGAGGTTGATTGCAACAATCCCCCCACGCATTTCTGTATATGCCATTTTTAGTACACTTTTGCAGTGGCATTCCACTCCAGGTCTTTATGTTCGCCTCTAAGTTGATTCTAGGCACCCCTCTCAGTCTAGTAGTACCTTCTACATTTCAAGAGACTTTGATGTCTCTGTATATGACCAAAATATTTCGCCTTTCTTTCTTTAACTATCCATACAAGAATCTCTCTCTTTTTTTAATTAAGCTGTGCCAAGTGCAATATTTCTCTGTTATTGTTCAAATCTTTCCGGTACATACCTTTATAGCTAGCTATCAATTACTACTCATTACCTAGAGAGTGGATGGTGTTTCTTGTATAGATTACGTGGCCGCTGGGTTTTACTATTCCATGACATCCTCCTGGTAATTCAGACGAATCATCAACAAAGGAAACTGAAAGTCATTTATCATGTTTATCTCACCCGGAGAGGACAATGAACTTTCAATCGAATACAATCACCAGTGAATAATTCAGGGGACGGGATGTTATGTAACCTTAGACAATTTTAGCTGGGTGGTATTCCATGGCAAAATGACATTTCTTGTATGTAGTGTGTCACATAATAGTTAGTAAACGTAGATCCAGACAAATATAGGCAGTGAAGATGATACATATTGTTTGTATGCAGCATAGAAAAAAACATATGACAACTCTACTTGTTTCGTTAAATATACAAATCGAAAGTTATGATCTAACACAATACGATCATTAGAACAGTTATGAGAAAATCAAAGTAACATTTACTCACTTCCAGTGTTTATTTATTCATTTATCTATTTTACATTAAGCCAAATATTTGAACAATTCAACATATAGGTCTATGGAGTAACATGAACATAATTTTGAAAAAAAGTAAACATCTATGCTATTTGATATAGCTAATACAGCTATTTAACATCAGAAAATTATCCACACGGAATATTACGGGGAATGTTATCAGCAAAAGTACTACCACAATACAAACTTTGTTCAGACCGCCCCTGCCCGGACTTTTACAGAAAAAACCCGTGTGGTTTTAGAAACGTGTTAAATGATTATGTAATGTGGCGGGTAGAAAGCGTCATATAGCAGTAATTGGTACACAATTATCTACACTGTACCACTTAAAACACGAAAGCAAATACTTTCGAAGGATTAACTCAAGGGAAATGTTAAAACAGCTTTGTATTGCCCATTGAAACCATGTCCGGATTATGAGATCTCTAAATTGCGACATGTGCTCAACACAATTCAGATCACGTGATTGTCATGTACGCAACTTTTAATAGGTACATGTGTAATTTGAAATGCTAGTGCAATTACTTCAGTAGGCTTCCCTGTATTAAGCCTTCGCAATAGTGTTCATAGTTGATAATAGCTTGTTTACTTTTGTTTATTCTTCGCTAATTTCTATTTTGCAAGCACATGTAGGTATATATATCTACAAGTATCGCTGGTTGTTTTTTTAAAGGGCTGGGTTGCTGTTACCACAGTGAAACAAAGAGCCTAATTACATACCCTACACAAAATAAGACTTTAAACGTAATGTTAATGTTACGGTGATGTTTCGAGAAAGAAAGTTATACTGCCATACATTACCAACGAATTTATGAAGCTGCTGAAACAGTGACGGAATTCAAATATTTGTATAGAAAAAAGTGTAATGTCATGTCATTACCCATTGCAGTTATTGTATAGCATTCGTAGACAAGATAAAAGACTAGTTAATTGGGGGTAGTACATGGTTAATTGTACCCACACACACGTAATCGTCTTTTAAAACTACCATAACATTATTCCGAAAGTATTCCGACTTACCTGAGCATAAGCTTATGATAATCCTCAACGATCATAAATTCCGGGGCTTAGTAAAAGCTGAAAGTGGTTATCTCCGTAAGTAAGCCTCGAGAAATACGCCAATAATCCCGACATGGACGAAAAGAGAGAGTGATTGTGGCGGTGACTGGTGGTGGAGAGTGAGATTGGATGAGTCGGTAAGATCGACCCTCTGTCCTTGTGTCCTTAGACAATGGGCGCCATCGATTCGACGACTCAAAGAGAAGGACGATTGACTAATTCATCCTAACACCATTGTACATCTCCGCTGGCTCATCAACCGCTCATTCGTTTCCCTCATTAAAGTGAAATTCACCCCAGGTCCATCACAAAAGCCGTTGTAAATAACAGCACGCTTCCCGGCTTAAATCGAGAAGAACAAAAGCTGGCATGAAGTATATTTCAAAGATAACAATCCACGAAATTCTGTTGATATGTATGAGCTGCCAGTTAGTCTCCCTTATTTATTGATCAGTCTTACGACGTGCAAAATGCATTCCAGCGGTAGTTGAAGAATCTTTCCGTGTATCCGTATCAAGTAGATGGAGGACAGAGCGCAGCGAACGTGCAGACGACCCAAACAATACTACCTAACTGAGATGCCATAAAATTGGAAAGTGATCTTCGCGCGCGGCTTTCCTCAGTCTTCTCCCGTACATTGACCACTATCAAAATGCGCATGCGCGGGTCGTTGTAAGCGTTGATTGGCTCTTCAGAGTAGCAAAGTTTTCTTTATCAGTTATACGACAAGATTCGAATGCTTATCGTGAGTTAGCCATTGAAGCACGTTGCGTTGTAAAGCGTGGCGGATTTGGAGGGAAGTGTGTGAGATGAGGTGTTTAATATCACCCCAGCAGGTGTGTGCGTTGTTGACGGACAGTCGCTGAACTAGAAGAAAGAAAAACAAAGCCTGGAAACATATTTCATTCAACAAATTAGAACAAGCGTGATATTAAAGGCGTGTGTGATGAGGTGAAAGCCCACGATTAATTTTGCCTTCCACCCTGCCTTGCGTACCATACCTTTCGGCACAGTTCTCTCACGCCACAAAATTGTTTTTAGATTTGGCAGAGTCAAAATGAAACAAACAAACAAAGACAATATGACGTAAGAGCGGATTCAATCTCTGCAGTTCATATATGTATATAGACAAATCGTTAAAAATCTGATATTTGCTCTGTCTTCATTTTAAGACCATTCTGTTGCTGAATATCAATTTCTATGAATTGCGCCATCGCCAGCGGTGTTTTATTGACAGAATTATAACTTATTTGTATCAAACTGAAAGTATACTAATTCAAAATTAATACGTCGTAGTTGTAATCAAAGATTAATCATTTTAACAATTATAAATGTTTGTTTATATTTCCCTTTCTCTCTCTACTGGACCCGTCTTCAAATTTTCGCAATAAAACAAAAATCCCCATTTCTCTTTATCATAAGTTATAAATTTATAATTTGTTAAAAGAATATAACATAAAATTGTGTTATGTTCAATGCAGTAATGATAACTACATGTATATGATCTCAGTTTTCTCATCAGCCTCATCAGAAAAAAATACATTCGGCCCAAGAGGGACAATGTGGGTTAAAAGAAGTCCTAGGACGTAATGACCGAGAAAGTATCGAACCCAGAATCTCTTGTATGATAGTCAAAAGACCTCCACCAATAAACCACGGCGCTGCAAGGCCATCTTGTTCGACGATTTAAGCACCAAGCAAGGTTCGAACCAATGACCTCCCCCTTCCGATGGTTACAGGCTTTCACCAATGTACAACAGTGCCTCGGGACATATTCTGCTTGACCCAGTTTCGATTTAATGGTTCAATAATAATACTTCCATTTCAACTTAAATTTGTCTATTTTATATTTCCACTCGTTTCGCAACCACGTTTCTCAAGCAGTACAAGCAATCGCTTCAATGGAACAATCAAGCGTGGTAGATTGACATAATTCAGTTGCGTATATAGGGGGCAGCAGGGGGCACTTGCCTACCCCATCCCGGCCCAACCCCCTGACCCCCAAAACAAAGAATAGCTACAGGATAAATGGAAGAAGAAGCGTGGGCTGAGGACTCCACTTTTTTATGCTTATCACATAATTTTCAGGAGTTGCCCTCCCCCCATTAAATCCGGGGATACGCCAACGTCAATTTAATGGCAACACCGATGTTTCTTTTGCTTCACCAGACCACGGTCGATGTAATCTTCCGGATGTACAATCCAATTATACGAAAAAGGGACAAAAGTGATGGCGAGATTGATTGACACGAACGCTTGCAGGTACCAAGCAGAGGTGTCGTAGTCGAGTGGGTTAAGCACTTGACTTGAAATGCAAAGGTCGTGGGTTCGATCCCTGACACGGCACTAATGTCCTTTGCAAGGCATTAATTTACATTTAGACCTCGGAGGATGACAACAGCAATTGAATCAGTAATTGCCATTGGCCCTCACGGTGACCATACGGTAGGACTATTCCCCTGGGAGTGGACATGGTGCACGTTGTGCGTAAATTAATCCGATGACCGGAGAAATGATATTATTAAAGCGCCTAGAGGCGGTATTTCGTATTTAAAACCAGATTATTATTATCATTATTATTACCAATGAAATAGTGCGAAGTAGAACGATGTTCATTGTTATGATTGACTTCCCAAGCAAATTCTTGTTATTCCATTATTCATCATGTAAATCTGGAGAAAAAAAGTTTGACAGTGACAACTTTCGATAAGAATGGTAATACCGATATTGATAATGTCAAATGATAAAGAAAAAGAGATTCCCCTGTGATAGAAAATGCACTTTTGAGTTGTATGCTTCTCCCGTGATAGAATAAGTGCCTGAGGTTGAAAATTTACCATTTTAAATTTTTGTATATGCCCTAAAAAATACGGATGCACTTATAATAAACATAATTTTCTTTATCCGATGTTCCCCAAGGTAAACTAGTGCTCTACAAACCTTTAACAAAAAAGAAAAAACAAAAACAAGAAACAAACAAATATACATCATCAACAGCAACAGCAATAACAACAATAATAACAACACAACAAAATCAGTCCAACTAATAAGCCTTTATGATTGAGTGTAAACGACGACATAATTATGCTCAATTTGTAAAAAAAGAAAAAATCCTACACTTCAAATAACAAAAGCTTTAACCCTAAACCTAGCCTAAAATAAAACTAAGACACAAACCCAAAACCATAAAACTTCTCTTCAATGAATTTAAGACCGGAGGGGAAAATGGGCCTCGGTCATAATATCTGCTTGCTGCGTTAACTTCTAAACCTCCTACCACGGCCCCCTGGTACGACACCCTACACAAAGAATTCCATCGATTATACCATTTACGATTGCTTTTGAATTTGTGATCTTTATTCAAACGGCTACAAATAAATTTCACCTTGTATTTTGCACTTTCCGATGAAAATATAAGGACATCATTTTTCTTTTTGACCTTTGTGATCATATTGCATTTTTTGATATTTATGTCTCCATATTTATTTTTTAACTTCACTAGTGTTCAGTTAATTTAAATGTGAACAGCGCTTTTTGTAGGGCGCGTTGAGCCCCACTGGTCGAGACGTTTCTATTCGATTCCCGGAGACGGATGGAGCTAGCTAGGGCGCTTGGTAGTCCTCCTGCCGAGCGCTGTCTTCTTTGGTAGTTGTGTTGCCCTATTCACCTTTAACTTCACCACCAGTGTTGAGATTAGTTTAAATGTGAACAGCGCCTTTTGCAGGGCGCGTTGAGCCCCATTGGCCGAGACGTTTCTATTCCATTCTCGGAGACGGATGGAGCTAGCTAGGGCGCTCGGTAGCCCTCCTGCAGAGCGCTGTCTTATTGATTATATCGAGTGTTTGTAAGATGGGCTGTTCATGGGGCGAAGAGAAAAGAGAATTGGACCAAGCTGCGTGACCCCTCACCATTAAGAGGTCACAAACAACTTCATTGATTCGAAAGGGTAGACAAGGTGAAAAGATTGGGATGGGTGAGGGGGAGCAATAACTAATGAGTTGATTATACGAATGTCATTTAATCAATACTGTCACTTGATTATTTAATATGGATAATTTGTTCTGTGGAATATATTCGTGATGAAAGGATACTTATTATATAAATATATCACACAGTCTTTATTTTTATTGTTGGAACATCGCTTTATTGATACTTCAGCAATACAGGAATAGATAAATTATGACAACTGGCATACAAAGAAAAGGAGAGCATACTAATGAAAGCCAAGGACTTGACCTGATTAATGGTCTATGCAAAGCAGGTAACCTCTTTCTAATTAGAGGCTCACACTTATTGTTCGTCTTTACCCAAGACCTCTACATACAGTCTCTTCCTTCTATTCATCCGTGTCTCCTGTTCTTTTCCTTACTTTTTAATTTCTATTTTGACCTAATTATCTTTTCCCTCCTCTTCTTGATGACTTTATACCTTTGTCTTTTCTTGTTTTTTTTCTCATTCGGACAGAAAATTAGACATTATTGGATTAAAATGATCATGTTAACTATGGATCACATTAACCATACTAAATCGCGTATCGTTTTGTTTTTATTTTCCTCATAATATATTTGTATTGAGCTGTTTTGTATTTTTATATGCATTTCGTTTTTATTTGTAAAAGAAATATGTATAGTTCGATCTAAGCTGAGAGACAAATTTTGTATAAATATATCATTAAAAAAAAAAAAAAAAAATGTAAGTTAATACAAATATAGCGTGCTAGAAAAAAAAGCTATGGTCACGGAATAATACTCTGCTACATGTACACTTTTGTATTATATAACAAAAATATTGTGGTACAATACACACATTGTTTGTGCCAATGATGCATACACTACATATAACTCCTACAAATCGTTATCAATTATATAAAATGAGTTATTTTTTGCACATAATGTTAGTTTACATATCGAGATAATAGTAACTATATGACTTCTCGTTTTGTATAGTTACCTGTGCAGTTAAATTAGTATACATTTCAAGACCCTTGTTCAAATGATTTCAGTTTGTAAAGCGAAGGGCACTTGATTGGTATGACAGATAGTCCTACCATATTGGGATAGTTGTTTCATGTGATAATGAATGAAAGAAATATATGTAAAAGAAATCAAATACACTATAGGCTATAGACCATATGCGCTCAACTACTGCCGTCGTTACTTAAATGCGATAGATGTATTCCCAACCCTCCCTCCCTCCCTCAGACAAACACCGCCACTGCAACCGCCACCATCGAGCAGAAACAGTCGCAAACAGCAACATTAAGTAAATAGGATATAGACTTTTGTTTGAAGTGCACGGAACTGTAAAAAAGATTAATACCGTCATAGGAAGGAACAGAAAAGGCGATGACGTATAAGCTATTGATCAACCGGAAGCATGATATGTTATAATTGGCGCGATTGTAAGGGCTTTCGAGAAATCAACTCAAGGGAATTTCAATACTCTATTCTACCACCCACATGAGAATCACATGATTTAATAAGCCATTGTACTGTTCACAAATTTCAAATGATGCTACACAGCGCTATAATTGGCATTGCCTGAATTTATTTCTCGAAAGTCTTCGCGATCTTGTTTGCCGTTGCAACATTTAATTGTGATAA